CAACCAATCTTGGATCACTCATCTTTCTCTCTCTCTCTCTCTCTCTCTCTCTCTCTCTCTGCAGTGGTCTTCTTGTTACAGGTGCGCGGCGTCTTCTTCCACCTCGAGGTCCGCTATGGCGGACTGCCTCCTCCGGCGGTCACTTCAGCTATGGCACGTCGGCCCTGCACAACGTCGCGCGCGTGGAACAGCGGGTACCAGCTCTGATACCAATGCAATCATACTCGACTTCTTCACACTTGTCATGTATGCAAACAGCGAAACAGAAACTGGCGACATGCGCCCACACAATACTCAAGATATCGTAACCAGATATGAGTTCTCTTCAACTGGCTATGGCGACTGGGCGCCCACACAACTCACTGTTCGCACTCTGGATCACCCTGGATGTCCCACACGCAACACTCAGTATCATACTTCACACACCACACATGCTAGGCTACAGCTATGGCAGCGCTAGCTGCCACTACCTATCGCTGCACTCTACTCCTCTGCCCACYTCRKCTTCGGGCACTCTGCAGACCTCCTCGCACAAGCTGCTAGGTAGCGCTTCCGCATGGCATCCGCAGGAATGAATGCTTGGCTGGACGCAGCCTCTTGATTTATACTTCTGCGCTCCATTGGTCTGCCCTGTATCCCTGAGACCTACGACAGACCTACCTACCACTGGCGGTTCTACAGGTCGCAGGTTCAACTCTTCGAGTTGACGCAGGTATTGTACACAGGTAAGTTGGGAAACTAGGGATCGAGCCCTGGGATCTGTCTCAGCTACCACGATTTGGTGAATACCGTTTCAATACTTCTCGAAAAGCTAAATGCGAAGTGCGGAAAAAAGTGGTGGCACAGCACAAGTAGAACTCAAGCATGTTTCTGAATGGCATCCAACTAAAGGGACACCCGGAAAGGGATCCCAGCACCACCTCCAAGGAGGAACTTGTTCCAAGCAAGCTGGTTTGTACACTACTTTGTTTTTTTAACTTTTTCCCATTGAGTGTCCTAGTCACAGACTCACAGGCATATGGTAGGCACTTGACCTCAGGTGCTCCTCAACTTCCTCCTGGGAAATTCAATCGCTTGTTGGCGATGTCGCACATAAGAGCTGGCCCAGTTAGTTGTAGGGGAAGGGGCGGCGGCCTTGAGATATCATCATCAGACTGACCGGCCCTAGGTAATTAACAAGAATTCTAGTATTTGGCTCATCTGCTTCCAGTGGAGTTCGAACACGGGTCTGTATTCCAACAGTTCGGCGGTGTACCAGCCATTTTTTTCCAGATACCAGGGGCCTATCTGCAACTGGATCTCACGCAACTCTGTAGTAATGGCTCCGCTTCGCTTGAGCTGAGCAGCACAGCTGATGAGGCAGGTGCTCACCCACAGAATAACGAACACAATGTACCTGCCTGTCCGCTGAATGCTGTGCCGCTGTAGCTGTTGAGAATGAGGCCCTGAGTTCAGATCACCATAAATTTAAACTGTTACCACCGTCTTCAACCCCGAATAGAACAGACGGTCATTATAGCTGTACTTGGGGCGACGATGATGACCGGGCGTGCTATTCGGGTGAAGCCGGTAGGGGCTATAAAAGCCTATAATTCTCTCTTCGTCTGGCCCCGTCTTTGACTTTGAATGTAACATATACTAACAGTTTCGAGACTTGTGCAACGATCTATGTTCTGTGCTACCCGTGAAAACGGCAATGGCAGGGCATACAGAGACACTCACAGGGCATACAGAGACACTCAGTCGACGACTGTTTGGACTGAATCAAGTTGCAATCTCGTCCACAATCATCCACGAAAGTCCCAGTGTGAGTGCCCCTCGTCTTTAACTCCTGAAGGTTCAAAGTCTTATCGAATGGCCAAGGGTAGAAATGGGCAGCTTTGAAAAGAAAAAGAAAAAGGAAAAAAAAAAAAGGAAAGAAGAACGAAAGAAGGAAAGAAAGAAGGGGTAACTTCAGGAGAGTCACAAAACCGAGTTAAAATTGCACTATATATGGGGCAAGATACAGTTCGCAATTGCACTTCGGGCACCCTACCTGGCCAGAAAGCTGGGTTGTATCCATTGCCCGAACTGCAGTTCGGAACTGTATCTTGGCCCATAGTGCAATCATAACTCGTTTTTTTGACTCCCGCGTACTTTCCCCAAGAAAGAAAGAAAGAAAGAAAGAAAGAAAGAAAGAAAGAAAGAAAGAAAGAAAGATGTGTAGCTTTCTTGTGGGGCGAGGTCCCACTAGCAAAGAGGATTGGACAAATATTCTGAATCTGGACGTGTTTTAAGCAGAGATGCAGAAAAGCAGTTCAATCGCGACATTCTGCACCTTTCCACAAACAATTCCAGATTCAGGCGTTCAATCCAATCCTCTTTGCTAGTGGAACCTCGCCCCTGGCGAAAGGTAGGAACTTTCACCAAGAGAAGTAACTGTTGAGGTATTGAATAAAGTATAAAAAAGTTTTAAAAACCCCTCAAAGAAAAAGAGGGAGACGGCGAGACGAGACGCTCAATAGTTATTGACAATGACTGCATGACCCATACCACATGGCCACTCAACCACACTACTCTGTGTTGCAAGCGTGCACAGTATAACTTCATTGACTGCGGTGCTACCCAACAGTAAGCCTAGCTAGAGCTCCCAAAGTTACTCAAAAAAAAAAAAAAAAAAAGTTACTCAAAACCACGTCTTTAGAAGCCTCATATTCCATGTGTAAGGCCGTAAATCACATCTTTAAGGAGTCCATGACAAATCACGTCCTCAAGAGTCCCAAATTAAATTTTAGAGAGTTTCAGGGCAAACTGTGCAAGCGGTCCTGAGGGGTTTCCCTCCCTCCTCCCCCCCCCGGCTCTTTGATGCTTTCTCCACTCTTTTAGGATCGCGGCAACCAGAACACGTACTGGGGGAGGGTGCTCATTCCACCTTTCCTAGTAGTACAGGGTTCCGATTTTATTTCAAACAAGAGAAAAAAAAAAAAAAGGCTTATCTGTAGGGGAACACAGTAACTGTTCCCCTAGTGCTTGTTCTACTCAAAGTGATGGGAGAATACAGGAGCTGGTGCTCATGCAGAGGAGCCTGTTTGTTTCCCTCGTTTTCCGTGATCACACTGGGGACTTCTCAGCCAGCCGTTCCATCATATTGTTGACTTCCAGGAAAGATCCATTCATTCTCATCCATGGGAGAGATGCCCCCTTCCTGTGACATTGCATTATCGCGTCCCCCATCAGGAAGACTGCCTGCTCCTTCAGGTTTGTCAATCGGCGGCTCAGATTTCTCAAGGTCAGGATGTGCCGTGGGGTCAAATTCCTGTGGAGATTGGCTCACGATGACCGCGCTGGAATCAGCATGATGAACTGATGGGGTCGCAGCCAGTGAATTCGTGGGCATGGGATCACTCAGGCTGGGCGTCAAGACACTACTGGTTGGTGTGCCCACGACTGGCGTTTGCAGCAATGGTTCTCCCTGAGGGGAAGGTGCCGATTGAGGACCGGTCTCACGACTGTCTGTCTCAGATGCCTGTGGATTGGTCGGCGATATAGGAGAAGGGGAAACTGGGTGACCCGAAGATGTGTATGTGTCTGAGTCCTCACCTGGGCCATCCACATGAAACTCGTCATCCCGAACACGAGGAGGAGAAGGCCTCAATTCCTGGGCATCGTTTGCGGACACAGAGAAAAATGGTTTGGGAGAGTAATTTGAAGAGGGAGAGGGAGTGGCTATCGTTGCCTTACTGCTGGATGTTGGAACATCTGCCACTCCTGTCACATACTTCAGCTGCTCTTCCACCTGCATGAACTGTGGCGTGGGCTTAGACGTCATCATCATGGTCACTTCACCTCCACCCTGAGGCTCTGAAATGGGTGCTAACATCAATCCAGGACCTGCAACTCCATCATCATCAATCCACGTCTCATTGCCTTCTGAAAGCGGCGGATCGGGTGCGTCCCATGCGTCCACATCTGGGGCGGCCGTTGGTGCGGGAGCAGCAGCATCCTTGCCAGACGTAAACTGGGCGCTCGGCACTTCATTATGCTTCTTCATTTGAATCTTCTGCTTTTTCTTTTTCGAGACTCGAGCCTTGAACTTGTCGACCGCTGACGTGTCCACCATTCGAACACAGAAGCCGCCGGGCGACATAGTCCAGTCGTCAACGCACCGGCTGCACGCCCGGCCTGTGTGGCCGTAGAAGCAGTCACAAGTTCCTGTCGAGTCCAGGCAGCGACCATTTCCAGCACAAGGCTGATTCTTTCTCGGACCATCAGTTGGGACCGGGCAGGCCTTGGGGACATAGGGGCAATCTGATGGACAACAGCGATTTCCAACCTCGGACAATATGTCACTTGTACCATCGGCTGTGCATCGTTCGCCAACTTCGCACATACCATTGCCACAAACTCCCTGTCTCACCACAGAGTCAACCTCCTGGATGATCACTCCAGTGGTAATCATGAGACCCTGCAAAGGAAGGAAAAATAACAAAAGATAGCAATCCAGCAGGCATTTCCATCTTTAGAAGGACATAGAAGGCAGGGTCTGGAGAAGGAAGAGGAACAGAGACACATGCAGTTACTTGAAAACACACAAAACTCTTCTTCCATAGCACTCTGTTTGGCTACTCCCTCATCCACATACCTAGAATCACACTTGGATTGGTTGGCACAGGAAGGCTGCAGGACTCTGTAATGGAATTGCCTCTCAATATGAGATATAAATCATCTAAGCCATAATCACTCAATAGAGTCAATGAAACCTTGTCATACGGGAAGGAAGGATACAACCTTTCTGATTTGCTGGTGACAGCGGGCGAAACCATTCGAGGTGTCCTTTTCCATACCAGGCAAGCAGACAGTCAGAGCAACCCACGGCGATTAGACAGACGTGCAGACTGTCTGGTCCATCTCAACATGTGGAATTAAGCAAAACATTTGCTGGCATTCTGTTTTTTTGGTCTTTGAACCATTCCTGTCATCCTTGAGGAGAGCCATAAAGGATGGGCACAGCGGTTCCGGCCCCCTTCCCTCC